GGAGCAGCAGAAGGAGGGTCACGGGGAGGCTCTGCTGTTCAAAGGGGTCAGGGGTAAGTGGGCCATGCCTTGTTCTGTCTGGGCACCTTCCTCTGCCTTCACGTGCTTTATTGCCAGATAGAATGATCCAGGCAACGGATACCTTTGGAGCACCTTACTGTGCACCAGGCACCATGCCAAGTGCTGAAGATACTGTGTGAATAGGGCAGAATAGCTCCCAGCAAGTCAATAAAACAGGGGCTTTGGGAGGTTGTCTGAGTGGAGCTTAAGGAAGGATTCCTGGAGGAAGCAAAGACCAAGCAGGAGCATGAAGGATGAACAGGAGCTGGCCAGGCAAATGGGGCCGTGAGAGGAGAGGAAGGGAGATACTGCAGACAGAGGGAACAGAGAATGCAAAGGCTCAGAGGCAGGAGAAATCACATTGTTTCAGTAGCTGAGAAGAGTTCAGTCTGGCGGGAGCACAGAATGAGAGTTATTGTTTTGCGGGAGCACAGAATGAGAGTTATTGTTTTCAGTAAACTTCACAGACATGGGCTGGGGTCAGAGGCTGAGAAGCCTCCGTGGCTGAGAGTTTTCATCTGATATCTGTAGTGCTCGCATGTTGCGTGGCACCAGGCAATGGGCAGACCCGATTCTTTCTAAACGAGATCTCTTTGAAGAGAATTTAAAGGAGTAAGAGCCACATTTTTAGTGAGAATTTACACTGCTAAAATATTTTGTTAAAGGCATTTGCCTTGCAGATGCTCATGGCTAAACTATATGATAGGAATTATTACTGCCCCCATTTTACAGACAGGAACACTGAGTCCCCACTGTACCTGCTGGGAAGAGGGAAATCGACCTCTGAATTCATTTATGTTTTTTGTTTTTTTTCCATGACAGAAATAAAACAGCAGAAAATAAAGGACATTCTGTCAAACAAGATATTGAGAAAACACAATTCATATGTGGAGGTACTGTCTTGGGTGCCCAGGAGATGCCACAACCTGGGCAGACCTGACACCCTCTACACCGAGCCTCCTTTCTCTGTGATTAGGGGCACAAGGCAGGAGCCCTCCTGGGCTACATGTTGGCTGGGTGGTGACACACAGAAGCCGAGGGAGAGGCTGAGTGGGACAGTGTGGGAGGCCCACAAGGTCCCACAAGAGTACTGGCTAACAGCCCCTCTATGTCAGGGAGCCCGGAGCCACCCATCACTGCCTTCCTGATCCTGTCTCTGTCCTTCCCTTGGCCAGGGAGCCTCAGCCCATACTGTCCCTGCCTCCCCAGCAATCCTCCCCCATCTGCCTCTCGCTCTCTCCCGCAGAACTGCATCGACTGGAACCGAGAGGTGCTGAAGCGGGAGCTGGGCCTGGCCGACGGTGACATCGTTGACATCCCGCAGCTCTTTAAGCTCAAGAAGACGCAGAACTGCATCGACTGGAACCGAGAGGTGCTGAAGCAGGAGCTGGGCCTGGCCGACGGTGACATCGTTGACATCCCGCAGCTCTTTAAGCTCAAGAAGAATGAAGAAGGGATTCTCAAGGCCAATGCCTTTTTCCCAAACATGGTGAGGAGGTGGCGGTCGGCTCACCTTTGCAAATGGCCTTTAAACCCCAGGATGTGGCACAGAGGTAGCTTAGTTAGAGAGGCCAGCTGGGCTCTTGGGACAGGTCTAGGAGGCCAGGCTCTTCTCCTCACCTGCTGGGGTTTGTGTGGCCCTATACAGCCTGCAGAGCACCTTCTGGTATCTCACAGCAATGCAGGAGTCAGGTCTGTCGGCACCTGTGCCTTACAGGTGAGGCACAGAGAGGTGAGGTCTCTGGCACAAGAACACACAGCTGGCAAGAGATGGGAATCAGAGCTCAACTTCACAGCCAGGAAAGGATCTGGCTGCAGAACCTGTGTGCTAACCACTGTGCTGCACTGCTGCCTCCCTGCAGGAGGTTTGGGGGACAGGCAGGGTGTCAAGCAACAGACATGCTGCTCTCAGGTTGTGTTAATCATCCTGAAGGGAACATACGTGGGGGCACCCCCTCCGACTGGGTGGTCCAGGAAGGCCTCTCCTAGGAGGTGAGTCTGGCACTGCCTAGGCTGAGTGGGACTCACCCATCTGAAGGGTGGATTTGAGGGTGACCCCACCTTTGCCGAGAATTTTTAACTGTGACCCTCCAAGCACTATCTCAATGTCACCTATTGTATTTTTACCACCTCCATGCCCTGTTACTCCCTCTCTACAAAGAATACCCAAGGGCCATGCAGAAACTTCACCCAATTCCACTGGGGCCCCTCAGTCACTCCCTCCTTCTGGGGCTGGGGGCTACAATTCAGGGAGTAGCCAGCAGTCCCAAACACAGTGGTTCTCAAAGTGGGTTCCCAGGGCCCTGGGGTTCCAAGGCAGTGCTTCAAATCTGGTGGTTTAGATTTTCTGTTTTATTCATTGAGATTCTGCAAAATATTTTGTTTGGAATAAAGGGTCTCTTGGCCAAAAGAAGGCAGGAGTGAGGGCATCTCCCCTTACCCCCTGAATAAAACTCCTTGGCCTTAAGCATTTGGTTTCCTCTCGGGTTTAGCAAAGCCAGGCTTCCCAGCACAGGAATGAAAGTTCACACCAGCAGCGAGGGGATGAGGTGTCTGAAACGTAATCAGCATTACGGAGGGCTGACTCTGTGCCTTCGCTAGTCAAGGCCCCTGGAGGGAGCCTAAACATGAGAAATGACTCTCCCAGGAGGCTGTTGTGGGAGGAGGGTGCTGGGGAGTGGTCCTGGAACAGGCAGAGAAATTAACAACAGAAGGCATTGGCACAGGATGGGTCTGAGCAGCGACAGAGAATGAGATGCCCCCTCCAGGACTCATGACCCATGGAGAATGGCTGTGCCCCTATGTGCCCACACAGTGCTGTGCATGCGTGTTCTTAGCTAATTGTCACAGCAATGGAAACATGTATGTGGGCTCCTTTTGCCAATGAGGTTCAGAGAAGTGAAGTGACTTGCCTAAGGTCACACAGCTATTGAGTAACAGAGCTGGGATTCAAACCCACGTTGGCCTAGAACCAAAATCCTCATACTTCGTCCTCACCGGGCCACCTTCCAACATAATGGAGAAAACAAAGTCATTTACATAAGCCCCAATATATAGAAAGTTCTACGACAGAGGTGGTCATTTATTCACCCATTCAACAGATATTTACTAAGTGCCTAATATGTGCCAGGCACGGTGCTAGGGGTTATGGGAGCATAGAGAAGGAGTGACTGCCAGAGTTCAGGGATTCATGGGCAACTTCACAGAGGGACTGGCATTGGAGCTGGCCCTTGAATAATATGAACAGTTTATCAGGTGGCAGGTGGCAGGATGGGGGAGGACAATGTAGTGTTAAGAGATGGACCCTGGAGTCCAACAGACTTGGGTATAAATCCTAGACTAGCCGTGCAGCCTTTGGCAGCTCACTTTATCTGTCTGGGCTTCAGTTTCCTCATCTGTAAAGTGGGGCTATTGTTTCCAAAGGTCAGAGGAGGGAGGGGACACTCAGACCGTGATGCAGGCCACATGCTGCTGCCTCTGACCTGGGACCTCTCTTCCCTGCAGGTGAACATGCTGGTGCTGGGGAAGTACCTGGGCATCCCCAAGCCCTTCGGGCCCATCATCAAGGGCCGCTGCTGCCTGGAGGAGAAGGTGCGGTCCCTGCTGGAGCCGCTGGGCCTCCACTGCAGCTTCATCGACGACTTCACCCCCTACCACATGCTGCACGGGGAGGTGCACTGCGGCACCAATGTGCGCCGGCAGCCCTTCCCCTTCAAGTGGTGGAACATGGTGCCCTGAGCCACTCTTCCCTGGGAACCTCCCGGCCAGAGGTTGCTTGTCCCCTGCAGTGTGGCCCAGCGAGAGCTTTCAGGGATATGTTGGCACCCGGGGGTGGCCAACCCTCCCATCAGTGGCTTGTTTCCTTCTCCTATGCTCCAGTTCCTGGGGCCCTTTCTGCGGTTCCCAAGATGGTCCTAGCGTTGCAAACTCAGTTCTGCTCTAAGAAGCTGCGATAAAGTTTTTTTGAATCACTTTGTACGTGAGGTCAAGATATTGTTCCTACCATTCACTTGTTTACTCATTTGTCATGGTTGGGGTGACTGCTACAAACTCTAAAGTTCTGCCAGGCTATGCTGAAGGCCAGTGTCACTGCATGTGTCTTTTGCTCCAGGCCATATATTTGGTCTATAAAATATTGCCTGATCCTAGGTGGTCCTGAGCTTCCCACAGAACCTCTCCAGGAAGAGAAGGAAAGAGGGGGGACAGGGAAGGGGGAGAGGGTGGGCTGAGCCCTCCTGGGGGCCCGGGCACATCTCTCTTTAAAGCCACATTGAAATCAGTTCCCAAACAGCCAGCGGGTGCATCCTGAGGTATATGGCTGTCCATTTGATCATTCACTTTAATGCTGTGTGTCTATAAAATACATTCTTCTGTGTGTATATTTCATAATAAAAATTAAAATTCTAATAGACTGGATTACAGGGGCATATGGGCAGGAAGAGCAGGTCCCCCAGCAGGAAACAAAGTCACACCAGCCTCAGACCACACAGTGAGGTTTACAAGGTTCTGAGGGCAAAGGTGGAGCCTAAGAATTTTATTTCCCTTCATGTGGTCTTTGGAGAAAAAGGCAACAGACTGATGACAATGCAAGAACCCAGGGGACATAGGATTAGACTGTTGTGTCCAACACACCCAGGCTTCAGGGTTGGTTTTTTTTTTTTTGTCCATCCCCTTTGTGGTTTCCATTCCACTTGCTTGAAAGCAACACAAAGCAGGCCCTGTTCTAGCTTGTTGGCTGCTGTGCCTTGGGCCACCTAGAACAAAGCATGGCACGTGCTAAGAGTGATGGATTTTTGTGGAGTAGAGTAATGCATCTCCTCGGTGTCCTTTTTGTATATTGTCTTTTATGGCCCTGACGTTGGGACTTAGATTCCTCTGTGGAAAATAAAACTTGAGCCAACACCTGGGGGTCCTGAGATGAGGCCCATGGGCCAGTCCTGCACCTGCCCACAATCAGATCCTAGAATGTACTTATTAGCCACTTGTGGATCTTTGGGGTGTATGACTCACCTGCTCATGTCCTTCGCCAAATTTCTGCTTAAATTTTTCTAATTCATTTTAAAGAGTTATTTTTGCAATAAGGATATTAATCTTTGTGTGTTAAAAAAAGAAAAGAAAAGAAGTAGAGAGTAGAATAATGGTTACCAGAAGCTGGGAGGGGTGGGGGTAAGGGGGAAGATTAGGGGTAAACTAATGGGGACTAAACTATGCTGTCTACCATAAGTGAGTCATTGTGCAGGATATGCATGTATTGAAACAACACACTGTACCCCACAAAAATAAACATGAATAAAATTGCATTAAAAAAAAGAAAAGATTTTGGTATATGGTAAGAGGTACTGGTCTTGTTGCATTCTTCTACATATAAATGCCCAATTTTCCCAGCACCATTTACTGAAGAGGCAGTCTCTTCCCCATACTTTGTCAAAGATCAGATGGCTGTAGGTACATGGGTTGACTTCTAGATTTTCTATTCTGTTCCATTGGTCTGTGTGTCTGTTTTTCTGCCAGTACCATGCTGTTTTGGTTACTATTGCTTTATAGTATAGTTTAAAGTCAGGTAGTTTTATGCCTCCAGCTTTATTTATTTATTTTTGCTCAGGATTGCTTTAGCTATTCGTGGTCTTTTGTTCTTCCAAATGAATGTTAGGATTGTGTTTCCCAATTCTGAGAAAAATGTCATTGGAATTTTGATAGGGATTGCATTGAATCTGTAGATCACTTTGGGTAGTATAGACATTTTCACAATGTTAATTCTTCCAGTCCAGGAGAATGGGATATCTTTCCATCTTCTTGTATCCTCTTCAATTTCTCTCAACAGTGGTTTGTAGTTCTCATCATAGAGATTTGTCACATCCTTGGTTAAATTTATTCCTAGGTATTTTGGGTTTTTGGTAACTAATGAAAATGGGATAGCTTTCTTGATTTCCTTCTCAGCCAGTTCATTGTTAGAATATAGAAATGCTACTGATTTTTGTGTGTTTATTTTGTATCCTGCAACTTTGTTGAAATCATTTAACTCTAAAAAATTTTTTTGTAGAGTCTTTAGGCTGTTCTATATATAGGATCATGTCATCTGCAAACAGGGACAGTTTGACCTTGCCTTTTCTGATCTGGATGCCCTTTATTTCCTTCTCTTCCCTGATTTCTCTGGCTAGTACTTCCAACACTATGTTGAACAGGAGTGGCAAGAGTGGGCATCCTTGTCTTGTTCCTGTTCTTAAGGGAAAGGCTTTCCATTTTTCTCCATTCAGGATGATATTGGCAGTGGGTTTTTCATATATGGATTTAATTGTGTTGAGATACTTTCCTTCTATCACTCCAGTTAGGATGGCTAATATCGAAAAGACTGAGAATGACAAATGCCAGAGAGCATGTGGGGAAAGAGGAACCCTCCTACACTGTTGGTGGGAATGTAAAATGGTGCAGCCCTTATGGAAAATAGTATGGAGGTTCCTCAAACAACTACAGATAGATCTACCATATGACCCAGCTATTCCACTGCTATATATACCCAGAGGAATGGGGATCATCATGTTGAAGAGATACCTGCACTCCCATATTTATTGAAGCATTATTTACGATAGCCAAGAGTTGGAATCAGCCTAAATGCCCATCATCAGATGAGTGGATAGGCAAATGTGGTATATCTACACAACGGAATACTACTCTGCTGTAAAAAAAAAAAAAGAAAGAAAGAAAGAAAGAAATACTACCATTTGCAGCAACATGGATGGACATAGAGAAAATTATATTAAGTAAAATAAGTCAGGCACAGAAAGAGAAATACCACATGTTCTCACTTATTTGTGGGAGCTAATAAAAACAAATAAGTAAATAAACAAATGAATGGGGGGTGGGGGGACTGAGGAAGACACAACAATCACAACAACTCCTTGATTTTGTTAAGACATGTGAACAGATATGATGTTGATGGGGAGAGGGGAGAGAGAGAGGGAGGAAAAGGAGGAATTGACAAAGGGACACAAAAATCAACTATATTGTATATTGATAAATTAAAATTGAAAAAAGAAAGAAAAGAAAACTTGATGGCTCAAGATCTTTAAAACTGAGACCAGATCTTGGCTTCGCAGAGTCTGGGATGCTCAGAAAACATTTAGAGATACTGTTTTTTTTTTCATGTAGGCTATGGAAAACAGGCAGTGGTGAACAGATGGACATTAAGAGCTTCTGCCCTCATACTTCCTAATTTCAAAACACATTACAAAGCTACAGTCATCAAAACAGTGTGGTGCTGGCATAATGACAAATAGACACATGGAATAGAATAGAGAGCCCAGAAATAAATCGTCGAATATATGGTCAAATGATATTCAACAAGGGTGTCAAGATCATTCAGTGAAGAAAAGACAGTCTCTTCAGCAAATAGTGTTGAGAAAACTGGATATCCACCTGCAAAAAAATGAAGTTGCACCCTTACCTTACACCTTTATAAAATTGACTTAAGATGGATCAAACACCTAAATGTAAGACCTAAAACTATAAAACTCTCAAAGGAAAACATAAGTGAAAATCTTCATGATACTGAACTTAGCGAGGGTTTCTTGGATGTGACACCAAAAGCACAGACAACGAAAGCAAAAATAGACAAATGGGACAACATCAAACTTAAACTTTTGTGCATCAAAGGACACAATTAGCAAAGTGAAACGGCAACCTATGGAATGGGAGAAAATACTCCTATTTGCAAATCACATATCTGATAAGGGCTTAATAGAATATATGAAGAACTTCTACAACTCAATGACAAAAAAAATCAAATAACCTAATTTAAAAATGGGCAAAGAGGGGCTGGCCCAGTGGTGCACTGCTGCAGTGCGCTGCTTGGGAGTGCGGCGGTGCTCCCGCCGAGGGTTCAGATCCCACATACAGACCGGTTCCCACTCACTGGCTGAGCGAGGTGCGGGCGCAGCACTGAGGGTTGCGATCCCGTTGCCGGTCCCGGTCCGGTACGGGTGCAACACTGAGGGTTGCGATCCGTTACCGGACACGAAAAAAGACAAAAAGGAAAAAAAAAATGGGCAAAGAGGATCAGGCCAGTTAGCTCAGTTGGTCAGAGCCTGTTGTTATAACACCGAGGTCAAAGGTTTGGATCCCCTCTGGCCAGCTGCCAAAAAAAAGTGGGGGAGCAAAGGACTTGAATAGACATTTCTCTAAAGATGATATACAAATGGGGCCAGCCCGTGGCTCACTTGGGAGAGCGTGGTGCTGACAACACCAAATCAAGGGTTAAGATCCCCCTACCGGTCATCTTTAAAAAAAAAAAAAAAGATGATATACAAATGGCCAACAAGCATATGAAAAGATGCTCAACACCACTAATCATTAGAGAAATGAAGATAAAAACCACCATAAAATAACACCTCACACCCATTAGGATGGCTACCATCAAAAAAAAAAAGAAAAAAAAGAAAAACACAACAGGGGCCGGCCCGGTGGCGCACTGCTACAGTGCGCAGCTTGGGAAGCGCGGAGGCGCTCCCGCCCGAGGGTTCGGATCCCACATACAGACCGGTTCCCGCTCACTGGCTGAGCGAGGCGCGGGAGCAACACCAAGGGTTGCGATCCGTTGCCGGACACGGAAAAAGACAAAAAGGGAAAAAAAAGAAAAAGAAAAAGAAAAACACAACAGAAAATACAAGTATTGGCAAGGATGTTGAGAAATCGGAACCCTGTGCACTGTTGGTGGAATTGTAAAATGGTGCAACTGCTATGGA